CAGGGATGAGGGCAGGAGGTCCCAGGGGCCTCTCTCACCTCTTGATGTTGCCGAACATCTGGGCGTGGCCCAGGAACCGTCCGAAATCGATGTGGAACATGTGGCCCGTGGTCTTGAGCATGATGTTGTCGTTGTGCCTGTCGCAGATGCCCAGCACGTAGGTGGCCACGCAGCAGCCGGCGCAGGAGTAGATGAAGTTTTCCACGGCCTGTGAGGAAGGAGGGAAGGTCATGGAGAAAGGATGGAATCAAGGGACTGGTCACTAGAATGGGGGACACGAGGCATGGGGATTCTTCCTCACCTTCTCGTACTCATCCTCCTCGGGGTTGTGTTTCTGCAGCCAGTCCGCCAGCGGCCGGTCCTTGAAGGAGCCGGTCACGCCGTGCTCCACCTGGATCTTCCGCAGGGTCTCGGCGTTGGGGATCATCTCCACCATGCCTGGCAGGTGGGACAGTGGGGTGAGACCCTTCCAGCCCCAGGAACCATGACCCTGACCCCCTCTGTCACCAACCCAACTGCTCCTCACCCGTCACCACTGCGTGACAGGGATGGGCTGGTGGGATCAGACCCCAGGATGTCCTGGGCCACCCCCAGCCCCACCAGGGGACCCCTGGGGACTCCCAAACTCCGTCTCACCTCGCCCACGGCCAGTGGAGAAGCAGCGGAAGATGACCATGCGCATGTCCAGCCCCTCCTGCACCCAGATCTTGTTCATGATGCGGATCATCTGCAGCGTCAGCATGTCCTGCCGCAGGTCATCGCCACACTGCCCAGGGAAGAGCCACCAGAGCCATCAGAGCCAAAGGAGAACCATCAGGGCCACCAAAGCCACCAAAGCCATTAGGGTCAGAGGAGAACCATCAGGGCCACCAGAGCCAGTGGAGAGCCATCAGGGCCAGGGGAGAACCATCAGAGCCAGGGGAGGAGCCACCAGAGTCATCAAGGCCAGGGGAGAACCATCAGGGCCACCAAAGCCACCAGAACCACCAGGGCCAGNATATATATATATATATATATATATATAATATTAAAAATATAATATCTATATAATATCTATATTATATATTTATATAACACATATAATATATATTTAAATATATATAATAATATATAATAATATATATTATATATATTATGTATAATAATATATATAATAACATATACTATATATGTAATAATATATAATAATATATATTATATATAGTATATACTAAAATATAAAAATAATATATTAATGTATATTATATTGTATATAATATATTTATGTAATATAAAATCTATACTAAAAGAATAGAAGAAAGGATTTCAACAGAAGGTGTTCACAGGAGTCCCACAAGAGGGGAGAGACGAAGGTCTGACTCCACATTTCAGAAGGCTGATTTATTATTTTATGATATATATTATATTAAAAATGTAATATATTTCTATTATATATTTACATAATATACATTATATAAATATATATTAGTAATAGTATATAATAATAGATATTATGTAGATATTATGTATACACTATAATAATATATAAAGTAAAATATATATAATATATTATATATATTATATAATTATATATAAATATGATATATTTATATAATATATATTTATGTAATATTAAATATATACTAAAAGAATAGAAGAAAGCATTTCATCAGAAGGCTTGCAAACAAAGGGAAAAAATTGAATGAATAACAAAATCTCCTGACTCTCAGAGAGTCCGAGCCAGCTGGACTATGATTGGCCATTAATTAGAAACAACCACATGAGACCAATCACAGATGCACCTGTTGCATCCCACAGCAGCAGATAACCATTGGTTACATTTTGTTCCTGAGGCCTCTCAGCTTCTCAGGACAAAAAATCCTAAGAAGAGGATTTTTCATAAAACACATCTGTGACACCACCATCCGAGGGAGCCTCCTGCTGCTGTGTCACCCACCCTGGTGTCCCCTACCTGGTGAAGTAGGTGGTGGCATCAGCATCAGAGTCCTGCGGCCTCAGCGCGTCGTAGACGTACTTGAGGTCCTCCAGGTCGGAGAGCTCGGGGATGCCGCAGGACAGCATCTGGCAGGGAGGGCAGGGGTGAGCACAGGGGACAAAGGGGACAAAGGGACCCCCCCCTTGCCACGCTGAGGGGAATTTAGTGACACCTCCCCGGCTCTCACCAGCCCCAGCAGGTTGAGGAAGAGGTGGGTGTGCTTGCGGATCAGGTTGTAGGCCTGGCAGCACAGGTCCACGAAGTCGTGGAAGCGGCTGGAGGGTTTGTCCCCGCCGTTGATGACATACGCCATGTCTGAGGTGAAGACAAACGGCGCACGGTCCCTGTGTCGGGGGACAGGAGGGACAAAGTGAGCAGGGGTGGAGGGCAGGATGAGAACAGGGAGAGGTCACCCACTGCCAGGACATGGAGAAGAGGAGGTCAGTGATCACCAGGATGAGGAGAGGGAAAGGTCACTGATCACCATGACAAGGACAGGGAGAGGTCACTGGTCACCAGGATGAGGAGAGGGGGAGGTCATCTCCCACCAGGACAAGGAGAGGGAAAAGTCACTGGTCACCAGGATGAGGAGAGGGAGAGGTCACTGGTCACCAGGATGAGGAGAGGGAGATGTCACCTATGGACAGGACATGGAGAGGGAGAGGTCACTGATCACCAGGATGAGGAGAGGGAGACGTCACCCACCACCAGGACAGGGAGAGGAGGTCACCTCCCACAGGGATGAGGAGAGGGAGAGGTCACCTATTGTCCAGACGTGGAGAGGGAGAGGTCATCCACCACCAGGACAAGGACACAAGGAGGTCACCTCCCACCAGGACAAGGAAAAGGAGAGGTCACTGTGGCCACCACTGGGATGACAAGGAGAGGTCACCCACCACCAGGA